TCACATAGCCAGTGTGCTTAAGACATTCCCCAAGATCACTCTCCTCAATACCTAGGAGCTAATGCCTGTCTAGGAAGTGGCAATAGATTTCGCCTTTGCCACTGCTGCTCTGGTAGAGAGAATCAGATGGTGTGTCGATGAGACTGATACAAGTGACCACTATGGCACTGTTACCACCCTCTTGAATGCTGGGCCAGCCCCAGTGCCACAGCACAACCCTACATGGAAAACAGACAAGGCAAGCTGGCAAGCCTTTCAGAATGTCTTGGCCCACTGTCTTAGAGGCAATGAACCCCCACAAAGTGAAAATGTGGACGCGCTTGAAGTCAGACTTGCTAATGCCATAAATCAAGCAACCTCTCAGACCATACCTAAAACTCGGCCTTGGTCCGAGAGCTACAAAGACGCCTGGTACTTTAATGATGAGATACAGGAGTTCAACCACAGAGTGAACATGTACAGGAAACAATTCTGAAGGCAAAAAAAAAAGAAAAAAAGAAAAAAAAAAGAAAAGAAAAGAAAAAAAAAGAAAAGAAAAGAAAAGAAAAGAAAAGAAGAAGAAGAAGAAGAAGAAGAAGAAGAAGAAGAAGAAGAAGAAGAAGAAGAAGAAGAAGAAGAAGAAGAAGAAGAAGAAGAAGAAGACAATCTAGCCCTCCTAAGGGAAGTTGTCAGGGATGCCAATGAAACTGCCAAAAGTCAGTGACTGGAATGGTGCAAGTACTTTTGCCACCAGACAACTCCTAAAGAGCTGTAGGAACAGGTCAGGAGAGCTACCAGCCACTCAAAGGTGCACACAGCATGACCCTCAATCAGGCAGACTTGACCTTATCAGAGAAAGGGCAGTCAGACCCTATAACTCAGATTTATCTTTTCTCTGTGGAAACTAAGAAAGACACAAAATCAGTTCTCACTCAGCCCCGGGCTCTGATAAGATCTCCCACCCCATCATCTCCCACCTAGGACTGGCAGGTGAGCTTGAATTCCTGCAGCCCATCAAAAGTCCTGGGAAACTTCCACTCTACCCTTGAGTAGGAGAGGGCTGACATAGTTCCCATCCCAAAACCAAGGAGCCAGGGAGGTATCACCTAGTAAGTCCTCTTGCTATTCAGAAGACCCTGATCCTGAAGAGAATCAGAGCAAAGCTCTTGGCTTGGATAGGGGATTATTTCAAGAACAGAACAGCCAGTCAGATTCCAAGGTCACTTATCAGAGCACATGCCACTAGAAAATAGAACACCACAGGGTGGGGTCCTCAGTTCAGTCCTTTCAACACTTTATGTCCTGTATCCTCAACATATCACCTCCCAGTGGGGAGCAAACGATCTTGCAATCATCTCCACTGGACCACAATGCCTAAGAAGAGCCCAGCACTGTCTGGACCTTGTATCTGAGGAGTGTTGTGGGACAGGACTAAAGATCTCTGCAGCCATATCAGAAGCCATGGCTCTGGGACATAATGTTCATGGTACAAGTCTGCGTGGTCCAGGGAATGAACCTAGAGTGGCTTCAGGTCTTCCAATACCTTTGGGGTATGGATTGACCAGACCCTCTCCTTCCAAGAGGAGGTCCAGTACCTGGTTGACAAAACCAAAGCAAGACTGTCTGTCATGAAAGCAATGACTGTGAGAAACATAGAAGCTGGACATATAGTACTACTATCATTCTATGTACATCCCGTCCATCCCATTGTGGACTATGCATTTGTCGCCCTGATTGCCACTAAGCCAAGACTAAGAGAAAAAATGAAGCTGCCAGGATCATTCTGGGTGCCCCCAGGTGAACGAAGGTTATCAACCTCCTCATGGAGGCAAACCTTCTCCCCCTGGACTCCTGAAATGATCTAATGGCAGTACAGTTCCTTTCATCCAGGCATCCTGGAACACAAGACAAAATATACTTAGACACCAAGAACAAGATTACGAGCTCTTTGCAAACATCTGGCTGTCACTCACAGCCAGGGTGTTGATATGCTATCAGCTCAAAGAACAACTGCTTGCTAAGGGCATGGACTCCTACCCTGATTATATTGAAGCCCCACTGAGGGCATAAACCTTGATGGAGTTCTCTGTCATAAGCTTGTCAAGGAGAAAAAAAACAATACCCCAAATCCTTGAGGGTAACATTTCCTCATCGCTACAGGCAGGGACAGTTGTGATCATGGGTGCCCTAGCCCAAGCATCCCTGAGGGAAGGACACGTCATACATACAGCTTCCAGGGCAGCCATTGGCTGTCTACAACATAGCATGCCCAATGACAACATCTGCCTCCTGACCATAGTGCTTACCATAGTGCAGGGGATTATTGCTCAGGGTAGAACAATCATAAACTGGATCCCCAGCCACAGAGGCATCAGATGGAATGAGCTTGCTGACAGACTAGCTGACATTGGCATTTACCCCCAAATCCCATGATCATTAAACCAGGCCAAAAAATCTTGAGGCACAGGTCCAATGCCACAGCACTTGCCATTCTCCTGCAACTTTACAGAGAGGAAACGAGAACCTCCCTTCCAGCCAGGTGGTACTCATATGCCACGGGCTAAGAGTCACTGGCACTCTCTGAAACAATTAATAGAGGTGCCGGTCATTCTTCACAGAATCAGAGTAGGTTACCATCTCATTAATATGTTGCACAGAAGAGCACATCCATAAATTCCTCACTGACTAACGATCCAGTAGCCTGGATTCACTCGAAGTCCAGGTTAGAATCGTTGACCCCAGCACATCTGAAGAGTTCAATGCACTTTGCAAAATCCCACTCCCAAACATGAGCCTGATACCACTCCTAAATACTCAATATTATCCTAAATCACATACATACATACATACATACATACATACATACATACATACATACATACATACATACATACATACATACATACATACATACATACATACATACATGCGTACGTACATCCATGCATACATACATGCATACATACATGCATACATACATACATGCGTACGCACATCCATGCATACATACATGCATACATACATACATACATACATACATACATACATACATTTATTTATTTATTGACCTTCCAGACTTTTTTATCAGTCTTTTGCCATCATTCCTGCCGTCACACCTTTCTCTTATTTCACAGATATTTACTTCACAATGGCAGTCTGAGCATGCATTTTCAGGAACTGAATGGAATAACGCAAGCCTCATGTGGAGCTTGAGCAATTACACAAACTGGCCCCATACTCGCAAACTACACTGCACAATCCAGCTCAACCTAGCGTGTATAGGACCCTAAAGAACATCATGTTCTGGTTCAACATATCTATGACAATCACAAAAAGATGAGAGCTCAGTGGTGACTCACTGTAAACTTTTCTTAGCTTCTCTAAAGATTGGATAAAATCATTATATACAGATTTTAAGTATAAGTAAAGAAAAAAGGAATACTATTCATGATATGTAACACTATTAACCAAATGTGCTGTAAGTTAGTAAGAGTTCATGTTTTGTTTTTTTCTTCATATCTAAATACAAAATTATTGTTACAGATTATAATGGAATTGAATGACATAACTGTTACTTTGTAGTTTGGTTACCTTAAAAGTACATTTTTTATGGCTAAAAATCAGTGAACCAGAGACCTCATATATTTTATTTTCTAATATTTACAAAGAATAAAACTGTAAAAAAAAAAACATAGTCAATTACTGCCATTTCTAGGATGGAGATAAAACAATGGATGCATTTTTTTCTTTCTTTCTTTTATTAATTACGAGAAAATGAGACCCTGTGAATGAATGATACAGCAAATATGGGGAGAGGGGAGGGAAGCCTTGTATTCTGACGTTTTTTTGTTTTTTTTCGAAATGAGAATGGCTAAGGCCGATGACTGTACATGTATATATATATATATATTAAAAAAATAGGTGATACAGCATTAAAGCTTAAACATGTTGTTGGACATTGTGCCGTAAAATGGTCAGCTATATACTCTAAGAGGTTTTAAGGGGACTTCACAGTTCAATCTTGAAATGTTCATATTCCTTCTTTCACCCAATTAAAATATCAAAATGCAAGACACAAATCAAAAGATGCAGTTCCAAAATATATATATAAAATATTTTTAAAACATTTTACAATTCATTGTGTATACTTGTCAAAATATTTCATCTATTGTATCTCTATTTTTTTTGTTATTACATATTTTCCCATTACAGATGCTAATATTTTTTTAAATACAATTTGTAATGAAACCAGGGTATAATAAAGTCACTGTATATTAAATTTTTAACATATTTTTGCTACATTTTTGGTGTGTGTGTTTTGTGTGTGAGTGTGTGTGTGTGTGTGTGTGTGTGTGTGTGTGTGTGTGTGTGTGTGTGTGTGTGTGTGTGTGTGAGTGAGTGTGTGAGTGAGTGTGTGAGTGAGTGAGTGAGTTTGTGTGTGTGTGTGTGTGTGTGTGTGTGTGTGTGTGTGTGTGTGTGTGTGTGTGTGTGTGAGTGTGTGAGTGAGTGAGTGTGTGTGTGTGTGTGTGTGTGTGTGTGTGTGTGTGTGTGTGTGAGTGTGTGTGTGTGCAGTGAGTGTGTGTGCAAGTGAGTGAGTGAGTGAGTGAGTGAGTGAGTGAGTGAGTGAGTGAGTGAGTGAGTGAGTGAGTGAGTGAGTGAGTGAGTGAGTGTGTGTGTGTGTGTGTGTGTGTGTGTGTGTGTGTGTGTGTGTGTGTGTGTGTGTGTGTGTGTGTGTGTGTGTGAGTGAGTGTGTGTGAATGAGTGTGTATGAGTGAGAGTGAAAGTGAAAGTGAGAGTGAGAGTGAGAGCGAATGCGAGAGCGAGAGTAAGAATGTTAGTGTGAGTGCAAGAGCATATGCATGCTGGTGTACATGCACATGGTTTTATGCAAGTGTGTGACTGGGGATCTTGATGAGTGTATGTGGCTCTTTCTGCCTGGGTATGCATATGTAGGTTTGTGTACTTTTCTCTATTAGGTCTTGCTTTGTTGCTTTCTCTATGTTTCTGTGATTTTATATGAGTACTTTTTTTTTATCAATTATGATAATTTATAATTACTTAAGTAAAACTGCTCTAAAATCCTTCTTATATCTGCAGGATAAATATGTACATCTCCAATCTATCAGTCTCTTACACGAATATGTACTCCCACCCACCTAAAAAAAAGGGGAAAAAAATGTACAGACTGTTATGCTTTCCTATTGCCTCACACAACAATGGTTCTGATTATGAAAATATTAATCCCTAAAAAAAGAAAAACTATTTCCGCTGAGATCAACTCTCTCTCTCTCCTCTCCTACCTCAAATGATTCTTAGCACAAGAAACTGGGAAGGACTTCAAACAGAGCATAATACAAATTGTTTTTTCTCTTGCAAACGTCTTGCATAATTTTGTCTTTTGGGGAAGACCTTTCCCTTCTTCTTCCACAAAATTCCAAAATAAAACATAAAACCTTCCATGTATAATTTTCTTAAAAAGGTTTATTTTTTGTCTTGGTTATGAAATCTAAAGCATTATATAGATATAAACTATTTTGATAATACTGTACTTTACAAGTCAATTCAAATTATTTGCTTGCAATTTGCACTAGCACACTCCTCCTTTTATTTTCTCATTTACTTCTTGCCTTCACTCTTTCCACTTTAATTTCCTCTTACAGGGAAGGAAGACAATCCCACACTCGTCTTCCCAAGTTCCTCTTTGTTCCTATGCAAAACCAGGAAGACCTTACTTCCTATCTCCAGACTGGACATCCTCTTAGTTCTTTGACGTTGGGATATTGGCATCACTGTCAGCATCTTTATCATTATCCTTTTCTCCATCATAGAACTCATTCTCTGGTTCCACTCTGGTGAAGAAACAAAAGCCATTTATTTCAGTGTCAGTCCTAACTCCTAAATTTCTGGTACTTTTGACAACAACTGTTATATCTAACAATCTAAAATTTCTAAAACTGACCTCTTATCTTCTTCACTGATGTGTAGTCGAGTGTCTGGATCAATCTCCTCCTCCTCCTTAATACTTAGGCCATCTCCGGGGACATCCTGCATCTGGACACTGAAAATCAAAGATCAAGGTTGTTTGTTTTTCTTTTCTTTTCCTTTCTTTCATAAACGCATCTCAGAACTATATTCGCGCCCGGGAAATTTGAAGTTTGCTAGCATCTTTCAAACAATTTTTTGGACTTTAGTACTTAAAAAAAATTGTTTGTATGTATGGAATGTTCATAAGTAGAATGTTCTTAAGTAGGGGACTATCTGTACCACAATTAATTTCAATTCAAAGTGTAAATAACCTAATACCACACACACCTTTATATAAGGACAAACTAATTTAAAGTTTGAAGCTAGGGTCCACTGAAGGACAAAAATCACCTACTTAGGCACTGGGGAATGATCAACTCATGGCTAAAATAAATATCACAAGATAAGAGGATGGGCATTAATTTTCCAAAGCAAGAAGCACAAAAATTACCTAGGAGCATGTTGAACCATTCTTAAATTATCATACACGTGCTTCACAATAGCATCCAGGTACTGCCGACTATTTCCATTTTCCTGCCGCGTTATCACCTCCGGGTGGAGCGAGAAATCGGGAGCAAAGTACTGGAAATACTCTGTGGAGAAGAAAGACCCAGTTATGTTTAGGCTTCACGGGCCTTAATATACATACATGACCAACCTACTGTATGAATATGATGATCTATGGATGTAAATGTGCATGTGATGCATGAGCATGTGCAAGTGTGAATGTGTGTGCACATGTCCATTTTGTGGAGTGGGAGTGGGAGTGGGAGTGGGAGTGGGAGTGGGAGTGGGAGTGGGAGTGGGAGGGGGAGGGGGAATGGGAATGGGAATGGGAATAGGAATGGGAATGGGAGTGGGAGTGGATGTGCTTGAGCATGAGCATGTGCATGAGTGAATAGTTCTTCATACCTGTGTTGTAAGGAATTTCTGTTGGCATGTCACTATCCACGAGCAATCCTGTTTCGTAAGCCCAACATCTTGCAACATTTCTTGGAGTGTATCCACCACCTCCCAACACTAATAGTGGGACACCAAATTTCTTTGTGAAGCTGACACACTCTCTTGAAAAAAGAAAAACAATTCAAGTCATTAATCCTTAAGAACTGCAAGCCCTCTGATCCCCTCCTGCTGAAAAAAAGAAACAAAGAAGAAAAAGAAGACAGACAGACAGACCTGATATTTCAAATTTTGTTATGGTAAATTTTGGCTTGCTAACATTCCAAAGGCTTGATTATACACATCAGAGAGAGTAAATTTCCTTGTCACATATCAAATACATTGAGCATCAACAACGTAAAAAGTTAAAAACATATATGCATTTACCACTTGAATATGAAAGAGATAGCAAATAAATCACT